AAATTTTTTAATGACTATTTATGCATAACCAATTCACTGTTCACTTCTAAACCCTGTAACACTAACATATTTCTTCATATTTCCAACAGTTGGTAAATATCATACCATAGAAAATGAATAGTAGATATCATTTGCACCGACGAAGGGGATAAACCCACAACTAAAATGCTATCATTTCATTTTCATAGCGAATAATTACGATTTTCAAAAAGTACATATGGAAAAAAAGGTAAATTTAAAAAAAATTGTGGAAAATCGTTGTATTTTTTTTAGTAATGCAAAGCATAGAAGTGCATTATATAATGTACATTACTGGCACTAGATACCAAATGTAGATACAGTGTCATAATTGAATATTTTATTTATTTCAATATTAAGTAATTAGTTGATATTCTTAAATAGTTTACTGCACAATTTAAACCTTAAAAGTTCAAAAGCGCAATAGAGTGTTGCGTGAAGTCTAATATATTAAAGATCAATCGTTTGTGTTCTCTAGATAATTATGCAAATCTGCCAATAACTGCTTCTGCATCTAATTCACCTACAATTTCTTTTCAATGAATAACAACATGTATGATTCCAAATTCTCCTCAGACAGCAAATTTTTTATCCTTGTCCTTATGATCTTCAGCTAAGAAAATATTGAATACAAGTAACTGATAATGTGCAGATAACTTTATAAAGTTATTTTTTTAATACTAAAACAGTTGTCTGTGTATCATCAGTAATCACTGATGAGTTACACCCCTTGTTTTTGTTACTATTGTTTTGAGTCCCGCGAGACGGAGTGTCGTTCGAAGCAGTTCTGGCTTTGAATAAAATGAGTAAAATGTCTACAACGGTTTTCGTGTTGCTCTTTCTGTTGTTACTAAATTAATTGCCAGGCTCGTGTATGAAACAGTCTGTCTTTGTTTCTTTATTGCATTTTTATTTGTTATAGGGAGCCCACTTCATCAGGGACCGACTTGCCATTCATTAAAGATATACAAAGATTTTATTTTCCTATTCTAAATAACATATTTTTAAAAGAAAAATCTGGAATGCTCGTGTTAGTTAGGATGAATAAATCCCAGGCTCTGCTGTTGTTGGGATTTTATTTCTAGCCATCATATAACGATTAACTTTATGACATTATTTAAAAAGAAAAAAAAAACAGGTTGTGATGAAATCCTAAAAGTCTCTTTTGATGACAATAACGATAATTAATGTTAGGAAAAAGACGCTGCGCTGGGAGTTGAAAGATCAATTCAAATGTAATTTATTCAAAAGGACTTTGATCATTTAAGAAAGAAATGCAGGGAAGGTTAAGACGAATAAAACAGAAGAAAAAAATTAATTACGGAAAATCCCATGAGAGATATTTTTAGCTGTACAAAATAACTTTGATAAAATAAGCGGGAAATAGCATAGTTATCATCTGTCTTCAATCGTTAATTTCAAAGTTTTTTTTTTTCTTTCTTTCTTTTTCTAAATTCTCTTCCAAATCATAAGATTGCTTTAAGGTATGAAAGATGAAAACGACGTCGAAAAACACGCTTGTAGGTAATCACGATTCGATGAACTATCAGCGAATGTTCTTTATTAATTGCTCTTCTTAATCGATTACCTTTGAAGTTACCTTATTCTTTTTGCGTCGTTTCTTTTCTTCTTCTATTTACTTAAACGTTTGTATTTTTATATTTTTCTCTCCTGTATTGTTTTTTTATTTATTTTTAGTCTTTTCTAAGCTACCCAGATTTTTTTTCCGTATTCATCGGGACTTTTCTCCCCCACCCCTTATAATTTCTTTCTTTCATTTTTATTATTCCTTCTTTCACTATACCTTTTAGCACTTTCGCCTATTTTATTGTTTTCTTTCCTCTTTTGTTTTTATTCCTTTCTATTTCCTTTTCTTTCTTTTTTTTTTTTTTTTATTCATTCTTTCACTAGAACTTTCAGCGCTGTTAGCTATTTTATCGTTTGCTTTCGTTCTTTCTTTCTTTATTCATTTTCTTTGATTTTCTTTCTTTCTTTCTTTCTTTTTTTCTTTCTTTCTTTCTTTCTTTGATTACTTCCCTCTTTCTTCCGCTTCTCCTTTTTGTCATTATTTTCTTCCATTCTTTTTCATTTCTACTTTACTTATTTTTCTTTTAATTATATTCTTTTTACTTTTTTTTTTTCAATTTTTCTTTCTTAATGATAACACACTTCGATGTCTGCGTCTAAAATATTCCAAATTATTTGGTCAATGCAAAATTGTCACGGAAAATCTGCTATAAAATTTACAAGCAGGATTCCCAATTGATACACTAGTTTAACAGCAGACAGTTGCATTTATACCGAATACACCCTGGATTTGAGGTAATTCGGTTTAAATTTCAATAGTAAACCTTTCAAGTTAATCGACATAGATAAAGATTAAACATGCTCATTTTAAGTCGGGATTAAGGCACTACTTAACTTAATTGGTCCACTCGTAAAAATAGTGAGTTTTTAAATAATTTTTGCATATTAGAATTCATTAGACCTTAGATAGATATAGATACACTGAGACAGATAGATAGATAGATAGATAGATAGATAGATAGATAGATAGATAGATAGATAGATAGGAATACACTGAAATACAGGATGGTCCGAAAGTCTCCCCCCCTATATAATACAATTTTCTATTTCAGATGGCTGACACGAGCTCCCACAGCTTGGAAGAGAGAGTTAGAGTGACAAGACTTTTGGCCACCCTGTAAATAGCTAGAGAGATATGAATACACTGAGATAGATAGATAGATAGATAGATAGATAGATAGATAGATAGATAGATAGATAGATAGATAAAGCCAGAACAGAGTGTCTGAAATATTATTAGCAAACTAATCAATATACCATTATCTGGTGAAACAATCAATTGATAAATTACAGAAGAAAATCATTTAACTAACAGGTTTATAATACGAAGAGCAACTTTAACGCGGTCCACCTACGCTTGTCTCCATTTACCTTTCGCTATTGTCATTTGACTGTCCATACAGTGTCTCTCGGTCGCAGCTGACGAGGTTTGCTCCTTGTCAATCAACTGCCATATTATTTTCCGCATGCGGTCGGCAATAATTTGTGAGGATAAACCATCAACAGTACATCGATTAGAAAACTGAGTTCATCCGGCACCTGAACCGGACGTCTTGGGTTTAAGGGTCACAGGGGGCCAGCGGCTGCTGTCGTGTGGCAGAGTGGACATTTTAATGACGGCACGAGAGCAGAATGATGCCATGAGGAAAACGGACTCATATTGCAACCGACTTGGATAAATTATATGAGAAAGCCGTGGGAAAGGCAAGTCAGTTACTCATTTCAATAACTGCAGATCATAAGGTTTGCCTGATTTCCTAGTAATCCATCAATATATATATATATATATATATATATATATATATATATATATATATATATATATATGTATGTATATATATGTATGTATATAAATAAAAAGAAAGAACAGCAAGATATATAATCCGGTGTTCTTATTAGATATTTTTATTTTTACAAAATAGTGCTCAATGTAAATTTACAGAGCATTAATATTATAAATTAATTGATTTAAAATATGTTTTTTTTTTCGCTACACAGTTCTATATATATATATATATATATCAAATGTGTGGCAAAAATTTTCAGATGTTCTGTACATTAAATAATGTATATTCAGCCTCTGGTTTTCAGAACAGACGACGCTGGGAGCCCTTGCACAAACACAATATAGACAAACAGATAGATAGATAGATAGATAGATAGATAGATAGATAGATAGATAGATAGATAATGAAAATTGTTAAATAATGTATGAACCGACTTATATAGGTACTGGGTATAACAGCAAAATTGCCCAAATCGTGTAACAGCATAATTGTCCATCCACAAACTGTTTAATATCGAAAATACCACTAAACTAATTGAGTTTCTTTTTTCCAGGTTTTGAGATAAGACATTCAGCCATCTTGACATTGAAAAACCCTTGAGTAATTCAGTTAGAAAGAAAACAGGTTAAAATAGTTTTGTGTCAGCCCTACTGTCTTCACAAATGAGCAATGGTGAGAGGAAAATATCATTCGGGCCTTCAGTAATTGTTCCAACATTCATATACTCTGGCTTCCATCTTCAAAGTCCATTCAAGAACAATCAAGAGAACGGTGGATCCGTTTAAAAAAGAGGGAACGGTAGAGAGCGAAACTGGATCAGGAGGTCACAACAGGAAGAGGGATTATCATTTCAACGAAGGAGATCAATTAGAAAAGATACAACTCAATCCAAAAGACGTCTGGCATATGAGAGAAGACTTTTACCTATGACAAGCCAAAGAGCTGCGAAAAAATAATTCAACAACCACGAGGCCGCGTGATTGCTTTTCAAACTCAGTCAAGGCTGGACACTCAGTCAAGGCAGCACCAGTAGAAATGCTCAATTCTTGGCCTGATCTGAATCTTTTAAAGATGTAGCACAACAGGAGGAGTCAGATAATTTCTGGAGCGATACAAGGAATCCACCGCATCTTTAGCTATAGTACGAATATAATACCATGGTAGTTAATCACCCACAAGGACGTGTAATCGCTTTTAAACTCTGTCAAGGCTGCACAGTAAGGACTGGGCAGCATGAACCCATATTTGGTAGCAATACTCCATTTGTAGTCTGATCCTGAGTCTTATAAGAGTCGGTACTTTCTGGAGTGATACAAGGATCGACCATTCTTCCAGCATCTTCAGCTATATTACGAATAGGAGATTCACTTGGTTTTTGGAGTGGGGAGCTTAGATCCAATGGAACTTTGAGGTAAAAAAGCTTTATTGAGAATATGACCGCCTGTCAGAAGTGAACCCAATTTAGCGCCTGCTCGGTGGTGATGAAATTTTACTAGTTTTGTTTTGAAAGTATTGAATGATACAAGCCAGTCTTTTCTCCACTGTGACGTCATAGCTAGGTCAGTGGAGAGATCAGCTGCCAGGATTTGTTCATCTAGATTTTGGGGGGGACATCCATAAAACGTATCACCTGCATTCATATTGCCGATGGGATCACCTCTTAGCGATGTTTTAACCTTATCTCTATCACCAATTAATGAGTTTGTGGAATAATGTATTATTCCATCTACGACATTTTACGCGCGCGCGAGTTGCCTCCCTTTCTCCGACACTCGTGTGTGTGCGCGCGCGCGTTTGACCCCCCCTTTCTCCCTCGTTCGGTCTAATACAGTAGTAACTGCTTTGGTCACCAACCAAGCGACTTGCTACTACTGTTTATGCAAAATTAGATTTTTGAAATCTTGCCGCGAAAATTTGTGACGTCAACGACAAACGGTTGTTTCAAAAAAGTCAGTTGGTGTTCCAGACTCTGACCTGGGCAGACTCATTTTTATCCACGTCAATATTTCAGTTTGACTGACGAAGGATATCTTACTATGCGACCACAAATAATTAATTCCTCGTCCCTTCTGCTGGTCATTCAAGAATCCTTTTCCGAGACGATGCAATACCAAATAATTAATTCTTCGTCCCTTCTGGCTGGTCATTCAAGAATCCTTTTCTGAGACGATGCAATACCAAATAATTAATTTTTCGTCCTTTTGGCTCGTCATTCGGAATTTCTTTCACAAGACTATGAGAATACCAAATAATTAATTCTTCGTCCTTTTTGGCTCGTCATTCAAAGTCCTACTCCGAGACGATGCAGAACATACAAAATAACAATCCGTCGTCCACTTTGAGTCTCGTCAGAAATCTGTTTTGAACCAGTACAAAAAAAAAAGAGAAAACAAAAAAGAAAAAAAAAAAATATGTACATAACAATAACATTCACTCACATTACCTAAAAACTCGCAGTGAGTATTTTTCCTTGTATGAATATTACCATGTACATTGACTTATCTGGCATCTCCTTTTTCTTCAAGAACCTTTTCCCGCCTTTAGCCATCTTGCTTTTCCATTTTGGCGCGGAACTTTATCATTGGTCCCTACCACGGGACAAATTACTTGTTTTTCCTGTATTAAATAAAGATTACTCTTGTTGAAATCCAGTCTTTTTCAGTCATTCCGAGGAGGCTATCTTGTTAATATATTTTATTTATGCACGTGTGGATTTTTTTCACATTTCTTCGTTGTTCATTCACGCATTTTTACTTTGCTTGTAGGCTCGGTAGTTTAGTGTGGTGTCTGGCACAAGGCCACTCAGTATAATCCAGCACTGCACCCTACCGGGCCTGCAACAAGTTAATATTTCCTGTTGAAAGAGTTAAAGGTTTTGTATACCATGGTAGTTAATCACCCACAAGGCCGTGTAATCGCTTTTGAACTGTGTGAAGGCTGGACAGTGAGGACTGGACAGCACCAACTCAGATTTGGCAGCAATACTCCATTCTTGGTCTGATCCCGAGTCTTATAAGAGCCGGGTACTTTCTGGAGTAATACAAATGATCGACCATTCTTCCAGCATCTTCAGCTATATTACGAATATAAGAGATTCACTTGGTGTTTGGAGTGAGTTTTAGACCCAATGGACCTTCGAGGTAAGTGGAGAGATCAGCTTTTTTGGATGTACCTCCATAACTCATGAATGCGGCTTGTTTGACATTTACCATAGAAATAGTAATAGAGCAAGTGGCTAGCAGTATTTTATCTGTGGGGAAGTGGTTGTAGTGTGGAAAATAATTAATCACCCCCAAGCTCATGTTATCACTTCCTTAGGTCAATTTGGTATTAGAATGTCTTGTTGATCATTTTTTATATAAAAATGTATTGTTGATCATTTTTTATATAAAAATGTATTGTTGATCATTTTTTATATAAAAATGTATTGTTGATCATTTTTTATATAAAAATGTATTGTTGATCATTTTTTATATAAAAATGTATTGTTGGTAACTTCACTACAAAAATGTACACCTTTACTTCCCCGATTCCCTTTCACTCAAATTGGATGCCGTTTAGAAGACCGAAAACTTCAAAAGGAACCATCCGCTGTTCTATCAAACAGAAACACTTGGGATCGAGATATAAAAAAGAAAAAACCTCTCCCCTTTCTACTTAGGTGTCCATAGTATCACACAGATATTCGTTAACAAGATTAAATGAAATTCAAATTACTTTCCACCCATTGGGTATCCAACAAGTACAACATAAACAATTCACAAAAGAAATCGAAACACATTAGGCCGTTACGAGTCACTGACGTTCGTATTTTGTTCGATCGGTTTTGGTTTGGTTGTTTTTATTTAGCGGCATATCAACACCTCTATGGGTTATTTAATGCCGAAATCTAAATATGAAAATACAAACTTATAATTAATTCAAGGGAATGACATTATTTCATGATTAAAACATAATTATTTAGCAAGCTAAATAATTATACTTTTTTTTTTACCAAATAATCTTACAAAATCAAACGTGCAGTGAAAATTTGTTTCTCCTTGCAAGAAATTAATCATAGCAAATTATGGTTTTGTTTTATGTTTTTTTTTTTGTTTTGTTTCTTTTTGTTTTTGACAACTTATGCCATATGTTCAATTTTACTATAAAATGTATTGATCATCATTTTACTATAAAATTGTATTGTTGGTCATTTTGCTATAAAAAATACATTGTTGGTCTTCTTTTTAATAAATAACAAAAAATATTGCTGATAATTTCACTACAAAAATGGTTTGTTGGTAACTTTTACTATAAAAATATATACTTTCCTAGTGTTTCTTTTTTTTTATCTAGGTGTTCACTATGGCTGGGACCCTAAAAGGCGCTACCACCCGATATCTTGTTCGACTATCATTGTTATTGTAAACAAGTTTGGAAATATCTGATGCTGACTTCGTTGTTCGTCGAGTGGTTAACAGTTATATAAGATAAAGATGGTTTTTTTCACTGGATTTATTTAACCTATGCAATGAGGCGATCTTAACAGAACTAGAAGACCTATCGGTATTTATTATCGGTGGACATAATCTTAACCAAATAAAATACACATGTTATTGTAAGCTAATTATGTACAATAATGGATCATATGCAATATAGGCGAACAATCCAACAAGAAAAATTCAAAATAAATGTAATATATCTAAATACAAATTAGAGACATGTAATACTAATGGATAGTGGCTCGGATTGAGGAATTGGAAAGCCGAGTTCGAATTCCAGTCGAAGCCGGTACATTCACTTACGTGCTACTAACCTTGGGAAAGGTATGAATCCTCTTCTTCTCCCCACCCCCAGCTATGGGTAAATAGCAGGACGGATCGGGTTCTATAGCCTGGGATGGCAACTGGTCTACCGCAGAAAGAAATGGCCACCTACTGATGGGGAAAAAATATCTGCCTCGTCAGTCATGTATCGAAAGATACATGATCGCCTAAGCGTGTATCACGGATGGCACATAACTGACTGAATAGACCATTCCATTTTAAATAAATCAATATTTTTTTTTCTATCAATTTTTAACATCAACTTGAAATTTTTACTTGTTAAGAAGTTGAATAATTTAACACATTCAACATTATGGACAGAAAAAAAAGTGAATTTTATATAGTTGTTTTGTTTTTGTTTTTTTTTTAAATTTAGCATGAGCAAAACAAATTCACGTATTTGAACGAAAAAAAGTATGACGTCAAAATTAACGAACACTTTTCATTTTTTTAATAGTCAGTTTAATTTCTATCGTATATAAATATAGGTAGAAAAATGCAAATGTCGATAAGATAAGGACAGTCAAAAAGCACGGCCCAGTGGCCCCGATCAGCCACAACCGGTCCTGACTATTTGGATTGGGAAGTTTGTTAATTGGGGCAAGAATTGGCTGGTCAACTTTAACGCTTCAAAAACTAA